AAAGCCCCCACGGTACAACAAACTGACAGACGCATGAGAGTGTCTAAGGGTAGTGTACTCAAATATAATTTTAAGGTATGAGCCTGAAAATGCACACTGCAGGCTTCTAGCAACATGAGGGAAGTTCCTGGTATCACTCTTTGACTTTCTCAACTCTACCGAAAAGAGGATTCAGTATCATTTGTTTCTGAAATCATTTTCACATCAAAAATGTTTTCTAAAGCACTCCTGCCTTTAGCCCTATTCTGGCTTCTATAAAAACTGAGTTGAATAGACATATTTTCCATCCACCTGGAAATCTGCATTTCCTGTTTATGGACTTCATGTTAGATTATAACAAAGTTCACCATAATAATCCCCAGATTGCCTGTATAGCTCAAAAAGCATGTGATTTGACATCTAACCATGAAGGAAATAGAAAGTTGATCTATGATTTTTTTCCAACAGGAGAAAGGGATATTTTTTAAAGTATTTATTAGCTAATTATATTTTGATAGCAAAAGGACAGGAACTAGTTTAAATCCTTCCTTTTCAAAGCAAGTGTTGTTTTCTGTCAAAGGTAGTTTTCTAAAATTGCACTAGGTGGCAGTAGCATTCTACTTTCACAGGTATATTGATACCAAGTAGTGTTGTTTTTCCAAAAATGGATATGTTCTGAGAGTCCTTAGATGTTTCTTTTAATCTTCCTGTCTCATCTAAGTAAGCATATTTGAATATTTTTGTAGTTCAAACTAGGAATGTATTCAGAGAAGATGAATGGCCTCTACGTGCCTTCACTACCTATTCTGGAGCTGAGTACCCTATGGTTCCGGTTATTAAATTCAAGTAGACCTTTAAATGTCATATTATACTTGGCCAAATGTTGCTTGATGATCATGTAATAATTCAATTTCCTTATTCTTTGTTATCCTTGAATTTTTGAACATTTTCGGCCTTTCTGACCATTTAGATGCATGTCACAAAATTTATTTTCTTTTTAGAATGGAGACTTAACATTCTTAATAGCAATAGTTATAGGATTTTTATTTCTTTTCATCCCTACTCTCCATCAAACCCGTTGCCACAGAGTCAGTTCTGACTCATAGCAACCTTATAGGACAGAGTAGAACTGCCCCATAGGATTTCCAAGGCTGAAATCTTTACAGAAGCTGACTGCCACATCTTTCTCCCGTGGAGCGGCTGGTAGGTTTGAACCACTGACCTTTCTGTTAGCAGTCAACTGCTTAACCACTGAACCACCAAGGCCCTTTACGCTCTCCATAGTTGATGTCAATTCTCATGATTTTCCAGGGAATAGACAATAAAACATACAAAATTCAGATATTAAATAATATATGCCTTATTAACTGCTCCCTATGTGCCAGACACTTTGCTAAATGGATTGTCTCATTTTTTTTTCTTCTTCGCAACAACCCTATAAAATAGTACTATCATTATCCCCATTCTACAGATGAATAAATTGAAACATGGAGAAGTTAAGTAACTTGCCCAAAATTACACAGATGTCCTAACTTTGGAACCTACACTCTTAACTCATATGCTATTTTCACTATTTTTACTGCCCAGAAGTTTAAATAGATGGACCTTTTTCCTTTTACATTTCCTTCACTTTTGGGCAGTGAAGTGAACATTTTTTTTCTATTGATAGTTCTTAGTCATTTCCTATGTGGTGCGTGCTCTTGATTCTAAGGGCACAAAGTACTAGAGAAATGAATAAAACCAGTTGCCATCAAGTCAGTCCAACTCATGAGGACTGTGTGTCAGGTAGAACTGTGCTCTGTACGGTTTTCTATAGCTGATTTTTTAGAAGTAGATCACAAGTTCTTTCTTCCTAGGCACCTCTGCATCAACTCAAACCTCCAGCCTCTCAGTTAGCAGCTGAGCATGTTAGAAAGGAAATAATAACACTTCTTCCTTCCGTTCCTCCCTAAAGGGAATACCCAGTTCTTAAGATAAGACCTTGAGCGTGGGGTCAATTAACTCTAAAACTTAGGTGGCAAACCTAATTTGCTTTATTTCATTTGAATCATAGTATATTAGAATGCAATTAATGATGTTGTTTAAATGGAATACTAGGCTACATAACCTCTCCAAAGTGTCTTCCAGGTCCATAAAACTATGATTCTAAGAATTTTATCATTCAGAACTCTGAAAGAGACTCTATCCACTTCACTTTGTAACTTAAGGGTGATTTTTTTTTTCTAAGGGTTAGCTGAAGTATTATGTATTAGAGAATATTAACAAATGTTAAAAATACTGCTAAGAGCATGTTGATCATTCACAAAAAGCACCATGCTAATAATATTTGGTACAGTTATTAGCTACCATTCATTAGAGAGTAATTTCAGAAAACACAACGCATTCAGTGTCTGCAGTGAGGAGTAAAGGCCAGATCTGTTCAGTAACACCCAACTCAGTGTTAAGAATATATAAATACTTAATCTCTTTATCCCTTAGAGAGTAAATTATATACTCTTGGAGGCATTAATTCTGTCAGACCTTTGGACCTCACTGAATGCACTGAAGCAAGAATTCTAAATGATTCTATCTTGGTCTGAAATTTAACTTCAGCTTCTAGAAGCTCCCAGCATTCACATAGGCTTAGAGATCTTGATTGTCTTGTATTGTAAATAGTGCATAAATTTCCAAGCATGGCATCATGTGGGGGCAAAAGTATCTCCAGATTCGTCAGATTCGCCTTTGTTTACCAAATTAAGTGTTATAGATAGTGTCATTGAAATAAGCTAGGAATGGACTTACAGCTTCATTTAAGGGATTGTCGTGGAGTATACACTCATGTGTTTTCAATGTATAGAGGAGTATTTCTTCACTTTTTTCATTTCTTATTCCATCTCTAGATTTTCTGTGAAGGAATTTTGGTGTGTGGGGTAGGAGTGGGGAACTCTGTGGTGATTGAAGGGAGAGATTTGGCCTAATATGATAAATATAAAGGGAGATAGAAAAGTGGAAAGAATGAGAGAAAGAGAAGAAAGTCTACATGTAGTCCAGCATGTTCTGGCTATCAGTCCATGGTACAAAGGTGGAACAAGTGTGGTCCCAGCCTTCCCACTGCTTGGTCTTGGAATCATTAGATCACAGTCATCATCTGTTTCTAGAACAAGATGGGGTAAATCCAAGGGAAAGGCAGGCAGTTGTGGTTTTTGTTGTTGTTGTTTTAATCAGCAAAATAGTTATATTGATAAACCTACGAGGAATCTGTCCCTCAGAGCTCCTAACCCACCTGACACTCTGGACTTGGCCTGGTCCTGACTCTTACTATACTTCCTTTCCATTTTTTTCCAAAAATGGAAAGTATTAAAACTGTCCCCACCACTAATAACTCTTAATGTTTCAGTTTTACAGTTTGGGAATTGCAAGCCGGCAGTAAAAGCATCCTCTAGGAATCTGGCCTCACAGCCCTCCTTTGAGAACTCAATCATGGCTTTGAACCTGCTAGTACATAGATGGAATACATTTAATTTCTAGTTTGTGTTTCACTGAGCCACTTTTTCACTAACTTCCATGTGTATGCCTTCTGTTAGCCACAATGAAGGTCTCATGCGTAAACTCAGCAACAGAACTGATCAGAGCTCTGTTCTATCTGAATTTTTACAAGGAAAATAGATCCAGCTAACCAGAGGTGAGCCTTGGATCTAAGCAGTCAACTAGAATAGGGTGTCCTGTGGACGCTACCCAAAATGGAGAGCTGGTCTTTCAAGTCCAATCCAATATCCTCAAGGAAGTTAAAGAGTCAGTGCCAACAGACTAACTAGACCAGTAGAGACAGAGGACTCCCTGAGACTATCGCTCTGAGACAGTCTTTAAACCTCAAACCAGATATATCCCCTGAGATCACCTTTGAGTGAAATAGCAGAGCGGCACACAAAATAAAGAATATTACCCGTAAGAGAGGTGCTCTATTTAAAAACCGTCTGTATGAGACTAAAAGGTCAACGTCTACTCTAAAGCAAAGATGAGAAGGTAAGGGGGCAGGGAAACTAGAGTACTGGAAATGGAACAACCACAATACAATTAAAGAGATTGCTGACACACGTGAAAAATGTAACTAATGTCACTGGACCACTTGTATGGAAATTGTCAAATGAGAACTTAACTTGCTGTGTAGACTTTCACAAATGACACAATAACATATTACTTAAAAAATAAGAGTCAGTGTTAAAGAAACCTGATACAAACTTAAAGTTCAAAGTGTGAGAGCCAAGAGTCAGGAATGAGGTGAAACTTGACTGAAGTGGGAGCGAGTCAGAACAACTGAGGATGTTCTAGATAGAATGATTTCCAAGAATACCATTGTCTTGCATTTCAAAGTTACAGACTGTGCTGAGGAGCTGGAGGAAGGGGAGAGAGTGCAGAGGGGTGGTCTCTTGAGTATTCTGATTCTGTTATTCTTCTGTTGCATTCTACAGATCTAGATTAAATGCTCAACGATATAAAATAATAATGTCTAATATTTCTGATGTGATTATGAGCAAATAGAAAACTTTTTGCACCCCCAGCTTGTTATTTTTATTACTTGGCACTCCAAGTCAAAGAAGCAAAGTAAGGAAATATGTATACTTAATTTCATTAATAAAGAAAAATTCCTCAAGGATTTACAGTCTGCAGAAGAAAATAGGTGTTTTCAACAACTGTAACTAAAAGATAGTACCACAAGGTGGTGCTCACTCATTAAACTCAGGCTGTTGTTCAAGAAGTTTCCCGTCATGTTCTGAATTTTAGAATACAAAATATGAAATGTTATTTATTTATTTTTGCATTTTTCTCTTAGTACAAGTTTTCTTAGCACTGAAATACAGTGAGTTTTTTAATTTAAGCTAATTAGTTACCGTGTGCCTTTTTTGGAGGGGAAAAAATTCCAGCAGTGTCACTGTTGTTTTGCTCTAAAGATCTTCCATTATATAATTTTTGATCTGCTAGGTGGCTCAAAATATTTACTTCTACCATGCTCATTTTTTTCTTTCCTTTCCTTTAAACTCAAGACGGTGCAGCATAAGCTAGCAGAACTGAAAACACACATTTGTGTAACCAGGGCTTTTGTGGACAGCTGTCTCCAGCTGCATGAATCAAAACGTCTGGACTCTGCCACCGCTTCCATGGCGAAATATTGGTATGCGTGCTCAGTAATTAAAATGTGGTGTTTGCTCAGACTGTTACGGAATCCTGCCAACATTAAACTCAGCCTTGAGGGTCTTAAAGGAAGGAGGCTGTATAAATAAAAAATAGCAGTAAGAACCTTTTTTAAAAAATACTGGAAGGTTCCACTAAGCCTATTTATAATGTGCTAAAAATTGCTGAGGTTGGTATTTAACCCTTGTTATTGAAAATAAATTATTAAGCGACTGAAGAGGGATGACTGATTAGTTCATTTAAGTAATAGTATATTTCAAATTATCTGAAGAAGAATGGCAGTATAGTGAGACTGAGACCGAGAGAGAACAGTGAGACTTGTGAGTCCTGAGATAGAGTCCCAATTCTTTCATTAAATAACTATGATCTGGAGCAATTCATTTACATAATTCTCTCTGGGCCAACTTTTTGTTATCTGTGAAATGAGTGAATTGGGCAGGATTTTTTTGTTTAAGATATTTTCCAGATCTAAGAGAAATTCCATCAACAGTAGACTGTCTAATCAAAAGTTGCACCAAAAAAAAAAAAAGAAAAAACCCAAACCCGTTGCCATCGAGTTGATTCCAATTCATAGTGACCCTACAGGACAGATTGGAACTGTCCCATAGGGTTTCCAAGGAGTGGCTGTTGGATTCAAACTGCCGACCTTTTTGGTTAGCAGTCTAGCTCTTAACTCTGCGCACATGCCCTATTAACTGAAAGGAAGAAACATCCTATTAAGTTTAGAAAGACCTTCAGTTGAATTAAAGACTGTTAAAGATGAATTAATTGAAAAATGATCCCTATAAGGTTTTTATATATTTTAAGATGCAAGAGCATGCAGTTTAAATCAGATTTTAAGTGGGTTTAGTTTCCTGTTTTTTAAAAAAACATTCTCACATCTCACTAACTCAGAAGTAACCTAGAAAAAATTCCTGTCATTAATCATTAACTTCTGTTCATTTCAATCAGAAATAGAATAGGGGAAATATGCAAAATAGTGCTTTATATAATGATTCTAAAATAATAAAATTGTCAGGTTGAAAAGTGATGTGAAAATACTAGGAACGTGTACTTTTGAGGAAGATATTTTACATTTATATTTACAGAAAGTTCTCTGATTAGTGGAAAAGGTGTAAAATAAATATTTTTAAGATAGAATATTTTTGGAAAAAGAGATGTTTGGATTAGATTGTTCTTTAGAAACACCAAGTTTATACACTTACTGGTATTTCACATTAAAACAGAGGGAGCAACTAGTTACAGCCCAGTAACTTTTTCACTAAAATACTAGCTAAATACAAAAATTTATAGAATTCCAACTATTGCCCCCAAAGTCTTGTCTATTAATCATTAGATGGTTACTGTATTTCTTAGGAACATCCTCACCTGCCCTATGGCTTGGGTTAAAAAGTAATTTTAAATGGGAAATTGTGTCTGTGCTTGTCTTTGCTTTATGTTTCCCCTTATTGAAAAATAAGTTAAAAAGAATTTTTAATTTTTTTTGCATGTTAAGCTGAGTCAAATACCTACCAGTTGTCTTATGGATTTTAATGGTAATTACAACTGTTGTGATAAAATCAGAAAAGAGTTTTTCTCAAGTACCTCATGTTGATATAAATGTACTTCAGGAATGATAATCCCCAAATAATTTTTTAATAAATTTCCTGTTTGATGGCATGTGCTTTAATAGTCTACTCCCTTAGGTTTTCACTTTTACTTTCAGTTTATTTCTGAAAAGTCAGAATGCTAAAAAAGTTATTATTATTTTTTTTTTACAATTATTGAAATTCAGAATTGTAACTTTCGGATAAGAGGTGACATCTTTGGAGGAAAAAGATATATTACAAAGGTAAAAAGGAAATAGAGGGCTGAGTAATCATGTGGTTAATTTGGATCATCTAGATAATGTAAATAAATTAGACCAAACACAAGTCAACTATATCCTTCTCAAGCCTAGGATAGCCAAAAACATAACAATCTAAGCTGTGGACATTCTGTTTATAGCTTTAACAAAAGCCTAGCCAGAAATATAATTCATGAAGAATGTATTCTTTATGTAACAGTTCTCCCGAAATTTATTTCATTGTAATTCATGTTCTCTTCTTTGGTCAGCTAATATGTTGTCTCAATTACTTGGTAAATGTGTGCATTTAAACAGTCCTAAATAGTTTATTTCCTGACTATGAAGCACCTCATGAAAATCCATTTAAGATGTTCCTTTTCTGCTTTTTATTTTGGTCACCTAGGGCATCTGAGTTACAAAACAGCGTAGCTTATGACTGTGTACAGCTCCATGGAGGTTGGGGATACATGTGGGAGTACCCGATTGCAAAGTGAGTATAGCTGTTCTGTTGCACTCTTCTTGATGGTCTGAAGAAAAAGGAAAATTTCTGCATTGTTATTTGTATGGAGGGATAGGAGGTGGGAAATCTTTGTGTTTTTAACCATGACTACAGAGTATGTTCGAGCAAATGAAAGTAGCTTTGTTTTATGGGCTTACCACTAGGATTTAAATATATTATTTTTAAAGAAAATGAAACCAGTATACTAAAGCTTAATGCTTGGCCTTATTTCAGTCTTGATATAGAAGTATAAATAACACCCTTTTTTTTAAGCTAAAAAAATAACACTACAGAAAAATTAATCTGCATATGAAAAAAAGATCTAAATTGCCATCTTTTAAATATTTGATTATTTATTTTGCTCCAAAAAAAATTGGTCAGAAGTATTTATTTTTTCCAAACAGAATTTGTATTTCCTTCAAATTAAATTACCATATATGCCCTTTTTCGTTGTGTTGTGTATGAATACTCTTGTTACTATCTTGACGCAGTAGCAATTTGTAAATAGGCTGTGTTCTTCTACGTATTTCTCCCTCCATCTCTGTACTTCTTTCCATGTTTCCATAATCTTTGGCCTCAGTTATCTCCCCATGGCATTTCTCATCATCACCATGAAAAAAGTTATTTTTTTCTCTGATTGAACCATGTTTTCAGTTTATAAAATTTTCCCAAAGAAGCTTTTGCTGTATATAGAAAAGTCCAATGTGGTTCTGAATCTGAGAACGAGAATGGTATGGGTGTCTAAAAACTTTTTCCAATTTTTATTTAAATGTAGAATATCTGGAGGAAAAAAATTATCGGACTAGTATTCAAACTGGCAGCCTAAGACTTCAAATTTATCATTTTGGCAAGCATAATTGAAAACAGTTTACTGTGCTTATAGTCCTTAGTGGGGAGAATAAATATAATATGAAAGTTATATTAGGTCAAGGACAGAAGCTCCAGCATAGATATAATGTGCTGATTTTCTTTTGCCATTGGGCAGTTCAGAAAGCTTTAATCATGGTTATATATAATTTATAACCTTTTATAAAAACTCTGCAACCACCAGGACTTTTTCCTGCTTTGGGAATGTAGGCATGAAGTAGCTAAATGATTTCTTTTTTTTTTTTAATGAATTCTTGGAGTTGGATTTTGTTATATCCTTTCAGAACTACTTCAAAGGGGCCTTAATCAGAAGCAGATTTTTTTTTAATCTTTCTATAGTAGTGAAATCAGAAGTAAACATTGAGTTACACTAGCACAGATTAAATCATTACTGTACATTTTCGTGTTTTATTCACAATATTCATCTGTCATATTCACCACATACACAGTGCTAAGAGAGTAAAATAATAATGGATGTTTATATTTTTCTACTTAACTATGCTGTTACAGCTGCTGCTGGGAATGTAGTCATGTAGTGGCTCGATGTTTGTCTAGTTTAGTTCTTGTTCTAAGAAAGGCAGTCGTCTCAATGGCCCAAGATTAGAGTGTGGCATATGTCTTGGTCTCTGTGTTTCTCAAAGGTGATTCCTTCAGGTCAGTAGCAAGCAAACATTGTAGCTTAATGGCTTATTTGAAATCCCTGCTTTCAACTGGAGATAAGGCATGGTAATCACCCTTCTTGGGCAGCTTGTTAATTCAAAAATTGTGTGAACCTTTAAACTAGACTGTCATTTCTCTCCCCAAATAGATAGGGAAGAGACTTTTTTTAAAGATGAAAAGTGAGAATAGCACCTAATATCAAAATGGTAATTAAACATGTAGGCAATTCTGTGAATGCATTGTATAAACTTTGATTTGATAGAGAAAAACAAACAAACATTTTAATTGGGTTCCTTCTATCCCCGAGATTAAGCTATGTTAGTTAATATATATGTTGCTGAGTCTTGGTTTCACGGAGAAAAAGAGGTGCTTTTTTGTTCTGTTGTTTTTGTTGTTTAATAACTCTGTCTTAGCATGTGGGTTTAGTTCACTCTTCCTCGTTAGGTTTGGGGCCTAGGAGAAGGGAAGCTTAGGCTTTGCCATCTCAGGACTTCTCTGCCATGCTAGAAGGAGCAGCCTGAGATGTAGAGCTTCGTCACTGTGCATGGTTAAACATTCCTTCTGCTGCCTTCCTCTGTTAATTTTGGTTGATAACTGAATTTAATTAGTAACCTATAAAAGGTCTACGTATCTCTGTCATTACATACTAGGTTGGAATTTCTTTGTGAAAAGAAAAAAGCCCAACCCAGTCCAAAAATGTATAAACACATTGGAATTGCTCAAGAAGGCTGAAATGCCAGGCAGGTCCTCAAAATGCTAGCGTTGGCTTTTGTGGGAAAGAACAGAATCTGTTTACAAGAAAAAAATATATATATGTTTCAAAACACAAATGTCTCTAGATTTTAGAAGTTTTATCGGAAGGTAGGTACTGAGATTTTAAAATTCCTTTGTAATACAGTAAATCAAGTCAGTAAATATTTACTGAGTATCTACTGTTTGCAATGTACCATGATGAATATGAAGAAGGGTAAGTACAAAATTGGTCATGTTTTTAAAGAGTAGGGACATTTAATTTGTCTTAAAAATTACATAAAAAATCTGACAGATTTATGCTTGGAAAAAAAAATGCCAGTAAATTCATGTACTAGGAAAGTTCAAAGCTCTAACTAGTCCTTAATGGGTGAGCCAATGAAAGGATTGTGATACAATAAAAAAGATACTTGCCAAACAGGCAGAAAGCCTACATTCTTTTTCCAGTCTGCGAATTATCTGTTACATGGCCATTAAATAGCAATTGTTGATTAGCAAATGTGTTAACCTCTCTGCACCTCAGTTCTTTTACCTGCAAAAGGATAATATTTATTCTCTCATATCTCAGCTGAGAGGATTAAATAAGATGAGAAAAAGTAAAAACAACCACACAGTGGCTAGGTTACAATCATCACTACCAAAAGTGAACTCCTCATTGCATTTTTTTGTGTTTGTCTGGCAGTGGATTCAGCTACTCAGTAATTTAACCCCATATATTACTTGGAGTAACTATTAATCATTTCCAAAAAATTAAGTAACTTGTTAACTTTATGGAAGCAGTATTTTCTAAAGTATCACTGTATACCCTTATAGGCGAGAGCAGTGGTAGGATCTAAAGCGATGCTAGAAAATATGTAATTTCTTATTTATAAAATGAGTGTATTTCAAGTTTTTTTTTTTGGAAACATTAAGTATAACAAGAAATTAAAATATTCCATGCATTTCTGAATCTAAAGCAGACTTTTTTAGAATGCTGTTGGATGTGCTCAATTTTATAAAATTAGATAAACATACTTACAAATGCTTTTTTGAAAAAATTTGTTATATCCTCAAGCAAACTAAAAACTATATAGATCATCATAGTTTTTTGTTTGTTTGTTTTTAACAGTTATCCCAATCTGGGATTAATGCCATACTGGAAAAATAAATATGTGCTAGAACTTTATTGTTTGGGTTTTATTAAATGTGTACTTTGAAGAACTTAATAGTTACCTAGTGAGCTAAACTTTACAATTTCTGATATTTTATTTATTCATTCAATCACATTCTGATTTATCCAGAGCTTATGTGGATGCCCGAGTTCAGCCAATCTATGGTGGTACCAATGAAATAATGAAGGAGCTGATTGCAAGAGATATCATCCAGGACAAGTAGACATCTGCCCACATCCTGGAATCCTATTACTGCTAAGCTGGTTTTAAATCTGCTCAAAATAAAATGCAGCCTGGCAAAGGGGAAATGCTAATCATTGTTTTGTATGCTCTCTCTATAGAGAAATAAATAAAATATAAATAGAACATTAACACAGTGAAAGAAGAAATCTTTGAATCCGAAGATGCTGAAATTCTTCATATAAGCTTTAACTTTTAACTTTTTATATAGTTAAAAGGTCAAAAAAAATTTATAAACGTATCACTAAAATTCTATAAAACATTATTGGTTAGCTCTTTAAATTTGAGGCAGAAATAATTTTGTATTGTTATACTATAAAAACATTAATAATATTTACAGCACATTAACTTTTAAAGGGAAAAAGAAATATAATTTAGAATGTTGATTAATTTCAGCTGTCTTTTGCTCCAAACTTCCCAGAACAGTGGTTTTCACCCTCCTACCCCACCCCTCTATTTTTAAGCAAGGGAACCTTTTCTTCAAACAAAAGCTTATGTAGAAAGTCCCAGTGTAATGCTGATGAATGCAGAGCTGCTCTGATTGAAGCAGTGTCTTCCTACCTTACAGCCTTGGAGTCCCTAACCCCTAGGGCTCCGCTGAGCCTTTTCCTAATCCCGTCATAAAATACCCTTGGTTGTCTCAACTACTGACATCTTGGCTTTCAACAGATTTCCATTCTGTTTAATTTATAGGAGAACACAGAATAATCTATCACCCTTTAATTCTGTGATATATTTTATAGATATCAAAGCAGTCAATAGCTTTTATTTTAGAACAGTTTATTTATTAATTTAACAAATACTTTATGTCTTCTCTAAGCCAGGCTGTTAAAAATAATGATAGTAAACAAAACTGGCAAGATCTCTGCTAATGAATAAGTGAATAAGCAAGTAATAATAAACAAGGTAGTAAATAAGTAACAAGATAATTTCAAATTGTGATACATGCAATAAAATAAATAAGGGAAGCACCTAGAAAAGTGAAGAAATGACATTTGACTTGAGATTTTGTAATTATCATAAAAAAATAAACCATTAATTTAATTTGTCAATTAAATTAAGTAATCATTTCATTAATGCGCTTGGCTGCTAACCAAAAGATTGGCAGTTCAAGTGCAAGCAAAGATGCCTCCGAAAAAGGACCTGGCGATCTACTTCTGAAAATCAGCCATTGAAAACACTATGAAGCACAGTTCTACTCTGACACACATGGGATCACCGTGAGTCAGAATCTACTGGACTGGAACTAGACACTGGAAAGTATCATTTCTGTACTTGTTTTTCTTTGTATGTAATGGTGAGACAGTGAATAAAGTGGTTTTTAAATGGAAGTAGACATATTGTTGTTCAGCTCAGAAAACCTAAGAATCTTATTTGCTATTATTGATACTAAACATTGTGTTAATACAACCATTACAACTGAATAGAGCAGAGGGCAGTTCTGTTCTGTCACATGGGTGGCTATGACTTGGAATCGACTCGATGGCACATAACAAGACCCTCACAGTTCCTTTTGCTTCCGTTACCAATCTTAAAGGAAACTAGATTTTAGGAACAAAACATCTCTAGAAGAAGAAGGAAATAAGCATAGTAGGAAAAGCTTAGTGGAAATCCTGGTGGCATAGTGGTTTAAGTGCTAGGGCTGCTAACCAAAAGGTGGGCAGTTGAAATCTACCAGTGCTCCCTGGAAACTCTGTGGGGCAGTTCTACTCAGTCCTGTAGGGTCAATATGAGTTGAAATCAACTCGATGGCAGTGGGTTCGGTTTTTCTGGGATTTAGGAAAAGCTTATTATGTACAGGTAGAACGATTTGAATGATTGGTCTATGAAACTTGAGCAGGTTATTTAACTTCCCAGGATTCTTTTAGACGCAAATAACAAAAGCAACCAAACCCAAGACAACCTAAGTATAAACTAAGGTAACAAGCGCCTAATTCTGGGGGCTCAGAACTGAAAGCAGGGTGATACTATTAAGAGAAAGGATACAAAAATGTTGGGCAGACCTAAGTCACACAAGCGCGCGCGCATGCGCACACACGTGCGCGCACACAGAGCTACCCCAGTCCGCTACAGCTAGGATTAGGTTCTAGTAATTTTTATACGTCAATACATCAGAGAGTGAAAGGATTTCTATGTAGGATATTTTCTCGGAATGATCTTCGGGATGTTTTCTATCTCTCCTAAGCTGATTTCTTTATCTTAGCAATTTCAGACTTGTCTTACATCCCCAAAGAAGGATGTGTTGTACCATAGCCTTAAAGCTGAAAGCAAAAAAGGGAATTCAGGGTGTACTTTATAACCTTGCATTTGGTTTTCATTTTTTAAACAGCTAATCTTTGTGTTTTGCTTGTGTGGCTTTGATTGTTGGCCCCTAGGGAGGCAACTTATCATCTGTATCTCCTGCAGTGCTGAGTGCTCAAGAAACGATAAATAATAATAATGCTCAAAAGAACAGAGCAGACCAACACAGCAAGAAGGCAACACTGTGTAAATAATTAATGAGGGTTAAAGAGCCTGAGTAATTTTGTTTTTTCACTGAGATTTTTAGAAACAGAATTATTGCTTTAAAATTGTATTTGCCCCTTATTTCTTTGACAGTGTAATTGAAAATGACAGTATGCAAAAGAAACTGTTTCGGTTTGTGATTTAAAAATCTAACTCTGCAAATCTTTACTAAATCTAGTAATTTTAGTAGTTTATGGCTCAGAGTATAAGATTTCTAGATTGTTTTTTCATATGTCAGTATTATTTTTGGCACACACAGCATTTATTTATTTGGAGCATTAGATTTGACATCAAGATTGAAACCAACTGTAGACTTACCATGTCTACTGCTTTAAAATAAATGTTGAAAAGAAGTTCTACTCAATTTTTAAAAGTCTCATTTTCCATTTTAAGAAAAGATTATGAAAACTTCGAACATACTAAAAAATACAGTGTAGTATAATGAACCTCCAGCTTCAACATTCATCAACATTTTGCCAGTCTGTCTCCCTCACTTTTTTTCATGATGTTTTTTTAAAGCAAATCCCAGACATGCTTTTCACACACATATATATTTCAAAATACATGTCTAAGTGATGAAGAATATTTTCACGTAACCACAAGGCCATTATCATACTTTAAAAACTAAGATTTAGTATATAATTCCCAGTTCACATTAAATTTTGCTTCGTTGTATCAAAAATGCCTTTTGTATCTGGTTTCTTCAAATTAGGATCCAAACAAGGTCCACAAATTACATTTGGTTGTATTGTCTCCCAAGTCCCTTTTCTTTTATAACAGTGCCTTTTTCCCCCTCATTCCTTTTAAAATTTTATTTTTTAAATTAACATACAGTAAAATCGCCCGTTTGAGTTTTAACATGTATATAGATTCATGCAACTACTACCACAGTCAGGATACAGAACAGTTCTATCACCCCAAAAATTCTCTCATGTCATCCCTTTATAGTCACACCCTCTCCACACCTCTAACCACTGGCAATCACTGAGCTGTTCTCTGTCATTCTGCTTTTGTTGTTGTGAGACTGTCATATAAATGGAATCATACAGTGTGTAACCTTTTGAGACTGACTTCTTTCTCTTAGCAAAATGCATTAAAATTTATTCATATCAAGTGACTCAATAGCTCATTTCTTTTTAAGCACTGAATAGTATTCCATTGTATTGATGTACCATTGTTATTCATTCACCTGCTTAAGGATATCTTGATGGCTAAGGATAAATAAGCAACAGGATTGTTGGGTCGCATAGTGTATTAGGGTTCTCCAGAGAAATAGAACCAATAGAATAGAATAGATAGGTAGCTAGCTAGCTAGCTAGGTAGATACAAATATAGATATTTATTTTAAGAAATTGCCTCATGCAATTGTAGGGGCTAGCAAGTCTGCAATCCATATGTCAGGCAAGGCTAGAAACTCCAGCAGGATATCTGTACAGTGTTGAGACAGAATTCCTTCTCTCTCACTCTTAAATCCTTCAACTGATTGGATGAGGCCCAGTCACATTATGGAGGGTAATCTACTTAAAGTTAACTTATTGTAAATGTTAATCACATGTAAATATTTTCATAGCAACATTCAGACTACCAAACAACTGAGCACCATAGCCTAGCCAAGTTGACACGTAAAATCAACCATCACACATGGTAAGTATATGTTTAACTTTATAAATAACTGCCTTTTTCCAGAGTGTCGATGCCATTTTGCCTTCCAACCAGCAGTATAAGAGTTCCAGTTGCCCTGCATCCTCTCCAGTTCTTATATAGTTTGCTTTAGCCATTCTAATAGGTGTGTAGTGGTATCACACTGTGGTTTTAATTTGTACATTCCTAATGTCTAGTGAAGGAGCTCTGGTGGTGAAGGGGTTAAGTGCTTGGCTGCTGACCAAAAAGACCGCAGTTCAAACCCACCAGCCATTCCACAGAGGAAAGATGTGGCAGTCTGCTTGTGTAAAGATTACAGCCTTGGAAACCCTATGTGGCAGTTCTACTCTGTCGTTTGTAGGGTTGCTGTGAATCGGAATCAACTTAACGGCAATGGGTTTATAGGCAGTGTCTAACAATGCTAAACATCTTTTAATATGCTTATTTGCCCTCCACGTATCTTCTTTGATGAATTGTGTGTTCAGGTCTTTTGCCCATTTTTTAGTTTGGTTGCTTCTTTTTATAATATTGAGTTTGGAAGTTCTATATATTCTGGATACTCAAGCACAAGGAAAGCAAGGCCAGGCTGACATATTCGGAGTTGATTACTTACATAGTGAAAAGAAGAGTAGCCAAAGGTGCCAGCTCTCCATGACCCTGGCACAGGTGACACTAAAATGAAAGTTGACTGCAACAAGATGATGCAGCCAAGCAGTTTTATAGCCTGCAGGTGTACCTGAAAAGGGGGGAGGGTGAGGCAGAAAGCCTCTGGTGGATTGAGTTGAATTCCTGACCCTGTGCCTGTGGATGTGATCCCGTATGGAAATGAGGTTTTTCTTTTATGTTGATGGGGTCATGCTGGTGTAAGGTGGCTCTTAAATCTAATCACTTCTGAGTTACAAAGGAACCAGAATAGACACAGGGACACACACATAGGGGAGGACAGATGCTATGTGAGGATCATCTCCAACTAAGGAATGCCAAGGAAACAAGGAATGCCTGGGACCAAAAACGGAGTTGACAAGGGCCTTGGTGGCACAGTGGTTAAGAGCTCAGCCGCTAACCAAAAGGTCGGCAGTTGGAATCCACGAGCTGCTTCTTGGAAACCTTACGGGGCAGTTCTTCTCTGTCCTATAGGGTCGCTGTGGGTAGAAATCGACTGGACGGCAACGGGTAGACACTGGTTTGGACTTTCAGCCTCCAGAACCATGAGAAAATAATTTCTTTTCTTTAAAGCCATCCACCTGTAGTATTTGCGTTACAGCAGCACTAGCAAACTAAGACAGCCTCATACAGCCTCCTCAATGAGAAATTGTCTCATGACAGCCTCCTTTGTAGATAGGGAAGCGAATGAGAAATGGCCGTGTAGCAGCTCTTCATAGGCTTGCTTCCCATGCTCTCATGCTCCAGGAGGATCACAAGAAATCCTGCCAAGATTCAGCAGTGGTTGAAGCCTTGCCTATGTGGCCTATGTGGAAGCATGAAAGATTATCAGGCACTGGCATGGAACTGTTCCCCTACAGATAGAAGCCCTTTGTCAGATATGTGATTTGTAAATATTTTCTCCCTATTTGTAGCTAGTTCTTTCATTCTCTTAACAGTGGGTTTCACAAAGCAGAACTTTTTAATTTTGATGAATTGTAATTTATCAATCTTTTTCTTTTATGGATCATGCATTTGGTATCGTGTCTAAGAACTCTTTGCCCAAACCTAGTCATAAAGTTTTTCTGTGTTTTCTCTAGTAATTCTGTAGCTATACATTGTATGTTTAGATCTATGATCTATTAGTAATTTTTGAAAAGGTATGCAGTTTAAGTCAAGGTTCATTTTTTGTGAAAAATATTATTTTCACACTTTTGGTCAAGAAATCAATTATCCATATTTGTGTGGTTCTATTCCTGGACTCAGTTCTGTGTCATTGATCTATATGTATCTACCTCTTTGTCAGTACTACATTCTCTTAATTACTATACCTTTATAGAAAGTCTTAAAATTGAGTAATGAGACTCCTACAACTTCTTTTTCAGAACTGTTTTGGCTATTCTAATTCCTCTGCCTGTTCATAAAATTTTTTGAATTAACCTGCTTATATTTACAAAAATTCCTGCTGAAGTCTCAATTGGAATTGCATTAAATTTGCAGATCAGTTTGGAGGGAATTGCCATCTTTACTATGCCAAGTCTTCCAGTCCATGAACAGGTTATGTCTCTCAGTTCACTTAGGTCTTTGATTTCTTTCATCAGCATTTTGTAGTTTTCAACATACAAATCATGTACAAGTTTTGTTATACTTAAGTATTTCATTTTGAGGAGAACTATTTTAAGGAGCCCTGGTGGTACAATGGTTAAGCACTCATCTGCTAACCCCAAGGTTGACAGTTAAAGCCCAACCAACTGCTCCATGGGAGAAAGACCTGGCGATCTGCTCCCATAAAGATTACAGCTTAGAAAACCCTATGGGGCAGTTCTACTCTGTCATATTGAGTCACTATGAGTTGGAATCGACTCAACAGCACCTAACAAAAACAACGTTATAAGTTGTTGAGTTCCAGTTTCCAATTGTTTATTGCCAGTATGATGGATTGTTGTTCCTATGATCTTGCTAAACTCATTTATTAACTCTAGGAGTTTTTGGGTAGATCCACTCAGATTTTCTACATAGACAATAATGCCATTCATGAATATGGACAGTTTTATTTCTTCCTTTCTAATATGTATACTTTCCTTTCTTTTTGCCTTATTGCACTGATGAGGACTTCTAGTACAATGTTGAAGAGGAGTGATGAGAATGAACATTATAGTTTGTTCCTAATCTTAGGGGGAAAGCATTTAGGCTTTCACATTAAATATGATGTTAGCTGTAGGTTTTTTTGTAGATGCCCTTTATCAGGTTGAAGGATGTCCGTTCTGTTCCTAATTTGTTAAGAGTTTTTCAGTCAATTGCTTTTTCTACATCAATTGATACGATCATGAGATTTTTCTTCATTGGACTGTTAATATGGTGGATTATATTGATTTATTTTTGAATATTAAACCAGCCTTGCATTCCTGGGGTAAACCTGACTTGGTCATGGTATATTATATTTTATATATACTGCTGAATTTGATTTGCTAATATTTTGTTGAGGATGTTTGCACCTATATTCATAAGGGACTTTGGTCTATAATTTTCTTGTACTGTCTGTTTGGTTTTGTAATCAGGGTAATGCTGACCGAAAAAATTAGTTACAGATTATTTCTCCGTTTTTCCCTCTATGCCATTGATTTGTTAGGGAAACCTGGTTATTTATTTTGTAGAATGTCCACCATTATTGATTTGCCTGGTTGATTCCTCATTGTGGTTTCTAATTTATTCCTGTATTCTCATATTTCCTGTAAATTGATAGTTATATCTAGAGGCTTGATTAGATTCAGGTTCAACATTTTTGCTCTGAAAACTTAAGTGGTGTGGTAAATTTTCTAATCATCAAATCACGAGACACATAATATCTAGTTGTTTCGCATTTAGTGATACTAAAATCGATCTGTGGGTTTAAATAGTATTTGTCTGATAATTCCATAAAATTTCCTAACAACCTTTCACCTAATGGTTATAACGTTCATTGATAATTATTGACAAGATCTATTATTTCATTAGGGATTGCAAAAGATAATTTTCTAAATTTTTTATTCCTCTTGCATTTATTAACTTCCATAAAGAAGAACTTTCATCAGCTTTTTGTTTGGCCACTGGGTTCTCTAGGAATCAGAAACAGAGTTAGGAGTGTAGGAGGTTTATTGAGAGGTAACACTAGTGAAAGGGAAGGAAGTTCTGTTGGGCAGGGAGAACAGAACCTCAGACCATGATGCGGATCTGGCAAAGTATCAGTCAACTCAGTGAAGAACCGTGAAGTAAAGATTGCCCGTTAGAAGGGTCCCACACTGGACAGAAATAGCCAGCCCTGTTTTCTCTGCCCTGATCAGACAGAGAAACTGCCTGGGAAGAGGGTGGCCTAAGCTCAAAAGCTGAGGTGAACTC